AGTGTCATCCATAATGTCCGTAGCGAGCGCGAGTGACATTTGCACCCCAGCGCTCTTTCCGCGGGAGAATTTTTACCGCGCCTTTCCGGGAATACTTTTTACGAGTTCTTCCGTCGGGCAACGTAAAAATACGTTAACCCTTTCGCGTGAAGATAACGAGTGAGCAGGGAGTTGAGATGCGTCCGATTGCAAAAAAAATCAGTCTGGATTATTAAATGCGTCCGTCTGCGTTGGAATCCATCTTTTTCTCGATTGTTGCTTAACTTAACGTTTTCCAATATTTCCTCCCCTCCCTCTTTCAAAGTAACTTTCGCAGTTATACTGGCCGATATATCCCGACGTCGATATTATCCTACCATATAAAATATCGCCAACGCGGATTTCGACGAAAATACAGCTTCACCGTTTGTGCGCGTGGGTATCACGCGGGCGTATGGGTATGCGCGTTCACCAAATATCTAAGCACGGCGGCAGCGCTAATTAATTGGCTCGTAAATTAACGCGGCAACAATACGCGGGCGCGGGTAGGCTCCCTGTGCCGCCAGCCACCGTCGAATCACGGAATTACCGGCACGCGTTGCGAACGTAAGAATATGCGTGATGTATGCGGTATTCCGACCGACCGCCCTCTCGGTCTATTCTCGCGTACAACGCGCCACCCCCGTCCGCCCTTCGCATCGCCGCTGCTTTCCCGCATCTTCGCAAGGATTTTAACACCATCGACCGAGGGGCTGCTTTGTGTAATATGACAATTCGACGCCTAAGCTTACGCTTTATCAATGACAGATTGACCCTTGAAGCAACGTAAGACAGATTTGGAAAAAGGAAAGAGAAAGAGAGAGAATCGTCTATAAAGTCCGTTGTTCGCGATTTTGTAAAAATACGCTAGGCATTCTTAACGCGACGAGCATCGGAGTGTCACATAGAAGGCAGGTACATCGTATCGCGCATAAAAGCAGGTCGCGAAGGGTCACAAATTGAGTGCACCTGTTGCAACAACGCGGCAACTTATGTACACGCCTCGTAGGTACTTCACACGGCCGTCAAGTCGAGGAAGTGCTCACCTTTATTGTGCCCCATCGTGCTCGAAGAGAAGTCCAGAATTTTGCAATCTTTTATAAAAATTACGTCGCGCGTCGAGCGTTGTACGCGCCATTTCCGCGAACACACGCAAGTTGCACAATCGATTGTACGGAACATTGATTGCCTCTATTATCTAATAATAGAAATAAAACATTTTCCAAAACTTTCCATGATAAAGCTGAAAATGTTTTCATACATGCAAGTTTAAATAAATTCTTTCGATTTTTTTTAAATTTAATTAATTATAAAACTAGTTTTAATATAATTATTTTGGCAATTTTAATATTTATTTTTGAAAAACTTTTTAATAAAAATTTTTCATTTTTTAGTTAGAGAAGCTTGCCAGGTTCCTTTATTTACAGTTTACACCTGAAAACGATAAAATACAATAAAATACCAAATAAAATTGCATTGACGCAATATTATGAAAAATTAAAGAACGTATAGGTTTTGCTCTCACATTCCCCACTTGTGGTGAGAGGTTCGCATTTTGAAAATTTTATTAAAACATAATGATCGGCGTACAGGAAGCAGAGGAAGAGATCGATCATGCAACAATAGCGTCTAACCGAGACGAGAAGGTACAGCAAGTGTCCGTGGAGTATCCGGCGTGTCGTATTTCCGTGCATCGATCCGTGTCCTCCCCCTCGTCGTTCATCGACACCGACATTGTGACGACCTGCGGTTTTTTGTCGCGGTGATCGTTAAGTGCGTAATAGCCATCGCGCAATAGATAAGCCTTTTAACACTTCACGGGACTCGGCACTGTATAATGCCACGTGTACGCGCGATTCGTCCGATTCGTCGTCGCGCGGCTCCGCTCCGCGTTGTGTGTTATTGAGTGGAAGACTGATAACGGCGGCAGAGAGAAGCCGCCCTCGACGTAACATCATGGCTGCAACGACGAAATGCAACCGCGATAACAGTGTAATCGAGAGCGGACATAGCGCGCAGGGATGTTATTGACGTGATCGACGTTGCGTGAGCGGCAACGCACTCGGGGAGCGAAGGGAAGCGGGACGATTATTTTCTCTCGGCGATACGTTTCTCGCCTACAATTTTATCACAACATTTTTAATCGCCACGGCGATCCTGCACAAGTTGTAGCTGCGTTTTCGTTCAAACTGTATACGATCGAATTCGTTTACGATCAAGGGCTTCACTTTTCGCTCGATCCCCTATGCGAGAACGATGAATCGAATACGAATGCGAGTTGGAGAGAAATACATTCTTTTAAACTGAATCAGTGAAGATTGCATTGACAAAATAAAGATTAGTATTTCACTTATCTTCAATGTAAACGCTCACACTTTGTTCTTCCATCTTATATCTCACTAATTATAATAAGTAGAAATAAAATGTAAAACTAGTAACAGTTGTACACATTCGTAAGATATAACTTGAAAAGTTTCCTAAATTTAAAAAATTTTTTTCTACAGAAACCTTTATATCTATCGAATGAAATTCATATAACTATTTAATTCAAAATCATATTACATTTTTCTTTACTCTTAAGCTTACTGTTCACAGTCAGTAGTTTAATATTGATTAAAATAGTAATCTTACTAATTAATGAGATTTTACTGTAAAATCATACATATTTGTAAAATATAGCTTTCGAAAACTTTTTATATTTTGGACCGATATTTTTTTAGGAAAATTCTTCATATATGGAATAAAGCTGACATAACTCAAATTCAGAGACATATGTCATGTTTTTTTACTCTTGAGCTTTCTGTTAATCCAGCAATTATAATATTACTGATTTGAACAGTCTACTACTAACTGATTCTTTTCGGAGAGATCTCACTAAATGCAGCGCTATATTTTAATTGCTACTATACTTTTCGCTCTGCTTTTAAACAATAATATAATAAAATCGTTTGGTTAACCTTTTGTCTGTCTAAAGAATTTTATGTTTTACCATGTACCTCTACGCCACAGTAGAATTTTTATTATCATAAGCATATATACGGAAAGAACGGTTTTGCTGAAGTATCTAAAAATTTAGCTAGATTTTGTTGCACCATCAAAATAATTATAGTAGATCGCTGAAGTATGATGATAATGCTGTAAAGAATGTTGACATTTTAGCAATCAGTTTGAATGTTCTACATAATTATTTTTATGGTGCAAAATTATTTTCAGATCTGTATCTAGCTAAACTTTTAGATACTTCAGCAAAATCGTTCTTTCCGTGTAGTGACAAAATATAGTATGATTAAATAAGACTATATTCTTATGTGTTGAATTACGCACTTCTTACTTTAAATACATCGTTTATTTACCTATTTATCATTAAAAATTTTACATTCCGTCCATCCAACGGCATTACAGCTCAAAGATCAGGCTCTGGCATCATTTATTATTACATTAAACGTCGCCCTCAGTCAAAATTTTATATTAGACATTTATTTGTTACAAGAGTTGAAAATTTTCGATTACGCTGGTCACCAGATGATTATTAGGGCATCACTGAAAAATCAGATGTCGATTATGGATGACTACAATGGCAATCACGTGTTAAGAGAGCAATGTCGTGTACAGATGCCGAAAAAATGCGTTGTTTGCGCACATACGATGCGGTAATCGAAGTGTTAATGCGTTCCGCGTGTGCTCTTATTATTTACATGATCGCGACGACGCGACGTCGACGGCGCAGTCATTTTTGCGTGCCAAGTGCCAAGCCGGTCCCGCATTAAGATCCACGTGTTGGCAACGCTATGCGTTCCCGCTTATCGTCGCTGCCGTTTTATCTGCTACGCAAGTCCGACTCACATTCCTTTCATCAGTAACAAATGAGCCGGTGTGCGAAGCCGCCACGAAGCCACGTACGTAACGCCGTTGCGTTGGCAGGTGGACGGAGACAGCGCGCAAATCGATGCTCGGGCATTGATTTATTAACGCGATACGCCGCGCCGCGTCGTACGGTATAACGTCACATTCGCTCGGTATTGTGATACACTGGCTGCTTGGTAATAAATGCAAAAGTTGAAATAACTTTTTTTCCATTCGCATTTCTCTCCAGTCTCTATTTCTTGACCTTGGATTGCGCCGTTTCGAGTCCAGCTTATTGATCTCCCTGGCAATATTTGCTTTGAATCTCGATAAATAGTATTTTAATCTCGAATCGAAATTCTATTATAAACTCTACATTGAGATGACAATCGGATGTTATTTCTGGCATCTACAATTCCCACATAACAATTCACCGAAATATCTACTAATTTGATTTCATTTGTTAATATATAATTACGATTGCAACTGAATCAGCTGAATGCTAAAAATAGCTGGTCTCAATGCGCCAATTTGTATATGAAAAATTAATGGTTGAGAGCTTGCAGCAATGCAGCATGCCTGTCTATAGATCGAAAATTTGAGCGCAGCGGTGCGAACGACGGAGACAGCTAGAGTGGATAAGAAACTAGAGTTCCCCGAAAACGACGTTAGCGAATAAAGGGTTAAGTAGTTGTGGCGTCTGGGGTGCGTCATCAACGCGGCAGTGGCAGCGACAGAGGGAGACTAGACTAGACTCGACTCGCGGCTGTATCGGCTTGCGGCTGGGCCCATTAGCGTGACGCGATGCATCGTCTACATAAATACCCACCGACGCTGCGGCCGGTACCACCGGTTGCCAGTTGCCACTTTGTGGCAATGCGAGCTAGCGAGCGAGCAAGCGAACGAGAGGACAAGCGAACAAACGCAACGCACGAGCGGAGCACCGGGCGCAAGCGCTCTGACGTAACGTTATATCACTCTCGAGGCTTTATACATACTCTATCGAGAGGAGGTCTCCCCCCTACCCCAAGCGCGGCTCCATGTGGCGCCTGAGCAGCGCCGGTGGGGGTAGAGCTCTTCTCTTCCGCGAGACACCCTCGGCGGCGACGATGTCAAACTCAGTCGCGAGCCGAGTATCGTGTCGCTCGTGCGTGTGTCGTATCGCGTCGTGTCGTGTCATTGCGCGTCCTCCGTGTCGTATCGCGCGCGCGATACGATAAGACAAAGGGCCGCGTTATCTCGCGGCCTTTCTCGCACGTGGGAGAGAAAGAGGGAGAGAGACAGAGAAAGGGAGAGATAGACGGAGTGCACGTCAGGTTCGTCTCTACAATTCTCACCCCACTCCAGTCCTCTCTCTCTCTCTCTCTCTCTCTCTCTCTCTCTCTCTCTCTCTCCTCTCTCTTTTTTCTCTCTCTCTCTCTTTGCCGTTGTTGTCGTTTTGCGATAGTAGGGTGGAAAAAGTAGTCGAGTGAATAAAACAGCGCGCCGCTTCAGCGCTAACTCGCTCCGATAACGTTCTCCGCTCTCGCGGATTCTTGATATACTCCGATTTTCTCGTGCGCAACGTTCCACGGTGCATCTCACCGCCGCGGCGCCGGCGGTAGTTGACGAGTCTCGCGAAATAGTCCGATATCGGAGCGATTCAAACCGCCCAAGCCCACGACGACGGATTCTCGCGAAGCGCTCTCGGTCCTTTTCCGACCGGGAATATCGGGAGGGATATCGGAAGATTTGGTATACGTGCGTGAGCCAAAATCGATAACCGTGGGGCACGGATACACGAAACGTTCTGGCAGACGCGTCGCGACGCCACGCCACGAGTCGCAACACTATATGTGAATTGTACGTATACGTTTAACCCTTAAATTTCTCTCTGATGAGAATTTTCACATCGAGGATGCCAAGGCGTAAGAATATATAGGACGCTACCAGCGTATTTACGTGTTTCTCTACTTGTATTTCAGATTTTAAATAAAGATCATTATCTTGCTTTATATCTTGCTTTACATTTCAAGCGCGATTGTAATTAATAGTAATTACATACAAAATCTAAATACAAAATCTACGAGTACTATCTAGATTGGTTAGTTGGAAATAATTTAAATTTTAATCATTTACTATTATACATATATGTATAAAATTAACTTTACATCGAAAACTCGAATACAATTGAATTAAGAGTTAGAATTTAAGGGTTAAATGCATGGTTTTGGTTACTACAAAATTGCCGTATAGGTAACACGCGATAATTATTAAAAGGTATAGAAATTAGCTTCGCGAGCAATAAGCATTTATATAGCGTCATCAACGAAATATACAAACTCCGATTTTGCCGCGATGCGGTAAGTCGCTCTAGTTTTTTGTTGCACTGTTGAGGCAGCCACGTGTCCTCGATCGATATAGGTTAACGAAGTTCGCACGTGCAACGATTATGTAGAATTGTAGATCGTTAATCCGGTGGCAACGAGCTAGAGAAGTGACGAAAAGCGGAAGTATTAAACCGACGGGGGGGGGGGGGCAATAGATGAAGGAGGGAAATGGGAGGGAGAACGGAAAGAATGGGACGAAATGAGGGAGAGATAAAAGGAAAGCGTGTGATTTCCCAGGAATGCACACAGCGATCGCGGATACCGGCCCATATAACTGAGGGAGAAGCATGCGGCGTGTACAACGCACACAGAGAGATACCCGTAACCCGGGTGCAATCCCGATTGCAGTGCTGATGCATCCCGGCGCTCCGAGAATCGCCACCGATCGCGTTGTCCTAACATCGTGTCTCTCCATGTAGGTATATAATATAAGGTACACAATACACCCTGTATTGCATTCTGCGCGCGCATATGGATTTTCGAGAGGGGATTTAAGTTTGGATTTTCGTTACAGCATGCCGCTACGCGTTTCGTAATAAGGCGCTCAGCGAACAAAACAAACGTGCATGCTTATGCAAAGAGCCGCAGTTTTATTTGAAAGCTATAACACGTATTTCCGCAATGAGCGAGATACGAGGAATTTAAATTTTTCCCATCAAGTGGCTACACCGATCTGAAAGCGTGTTCTGCGTTTTCGATTAAGAGAATTGCGCCGTTAAGTCCGTTGGGTCAAGATACGTCTTCCTGGACCGGTATACGGACCGGCGAAATCGCGAGATACACGCGAAGACGGGATGATAGTTATTTCGAATCCGATCGGTGGTGCTTTGCCCGCCGAACCGGCGAAACAGACTGGACCAGATGTTGTCTAAATCCGTACCATCACGCCGACATGAACTTTTCTCCTCGCCTCTCTCTCTTCTCCTTTGCTTCTCGGTACTACTGTGCAGAGCCATTTTCCATCCTTACTACTACTAGCTGTCACCGTCAAGACTAACATCCGAAGATTCCCTATCTTTCTGTCTAAACTAAGATGTACACCGGCGAAACTTCCCACTTTTCACATTCCGAGATTCAAGGAAAAAAGGAAAGAAAAAAGTAAAGTAAGAAATGTTTATGTTCAAGTTTCGATTAGTTCCTCGGGCATTTTTGCATTCAATTATTTGGCACGGAAGGTAATGTGGAAGTTTTAGACGCGATCGATTGGGCACGCGCAATAAAGGGTAGTAAAGGGACAATAGCTATCAAAAATTTGAATGTATTTATCGCGCTCCCCATCTCGTTACTCGCTCGCTACATTCGCGCGTGGAGTCGCGCGCGTGCGGCGACGACGGACGCGGACGGCGCGTGTATATTTCTGGCGGAACGTCAAGTGGGATAAGAAGAGTATTTCTCAAAGCAGTTGAGAGGTGCACCGGCCGCCTCGCAAAGGTCGAGTTTCGAGGGACTCGAAACGCGAATCGAATGTCGTTTACACGTTCTAAATTCCTAGCGTCTTTCAAGGGAAAAGAAAACGTACACGGAATTGCGATTACAGTTGCCGACGCAATTGACGTACGTGGACGTCGTTATTCTTGCTGAAAAGATTAATGCGGCTCAAACACGTCCAACTTACGTCCGTTCGCTTCAGCGTCATTGGTCGGCCGAGCTGAGAGGATCGTTTAGTACAGGTCGCTGGGTTGAAGAGTTTTTCTTCGAAGATCTCTGAAATTTTATTTATTTACTTATTTAATGACACGAAAGTCCGAGATGATGTTTGCTCAACGTCAACCGTGCGTAAATTTACTTTCTTACGTGCAAACTTTTGTGTTTCATTTGCTGTTCCATTTATTTAACCATTTATTTTCTGTTAAAAGACGAACCTTGTAAAGAGTAACAAAGGACAAAAAACCTGTGATTTTGTTTCTTACAGATATATACTTATTCATATCCGCGCAGAAGATTGCCGGACTCGATATTACGACGCGCGACGTTACGAGGCAATTGCCGACTTCAGTTGCGTTGCTGGTTTTCACCATTTCGGTGAATTTTACCGCGCACGTCATAAAACCGTACGAATCAAATGTCCAAGTTTACGGTTCGTAATGCGGAACGACAAATCACTTCAGACATCGTTGTTGATAGGCGAAACGATTACGTTGAAATCCTGTAATAAATCGCTCGCGTGACGCGCGTTGGCAAAACCGCATTTATTTCTCATATTGCTGCGTGCGATTAAATGTGTGTCTTCACAATTGTCATACTGCACGTACGAAGATGCTATTTATTATCAGGTTATGGAATTTATTGTACCATTTTTCGATCTTAATCTACTTGCCGTGACATTTGTTAGCGTCAGTAATATTACATTATCAATTTAATAATGTGATATTACATTTCCAGCTTTGGCATAAAACTGCATTTCAAGTCTAAACAGTAATCGCATGGTTCAAAAATATAAAAGCGAAATTAAATAAAATTCCCTAAAATTGTTGTAAAGCTTAAGATCCCGCCCGATGACCTGATAAAAATCAATATTTAAGTATTATTAGACGCTTAGATAAAATAATTGCTCAGAAGTCATAAGATGAAAAGTTAGAATAAAAAATAGAATTAAATTAAAGTGAAAAATGTACAGAGTAAAATAAAAAGCTTACATATCCTGTGCGTCAAGTTGTTCCACGCTGTACTGTTCTTATTTTTTGTCTTGACGCACAGGATATGTGAGCTTTTTATTTTACTCTGTACATTTTTTACTTTAATTTAATTCTATTTTTTATTCTAACTTTTTATTTTATGATTTTTGAGCAATTATTTTATTTTATTGACTATCGTGAGTTTATTTTACTTTTTAGCTTTACGTATGCATGATGTGGTTAGGGCACGATGTCAGCGACGTAATGGATATTTTGTACGCGACTTTTGAGGATGTATGGCTTGATTAATTTTCTCACTTGAGAAGGACCGAAATTCCGGTCGAAACGTTGTGAGTTTAAATATATTAATTATTTGGCCAGTTGGGTCGAAAAAACGATTTCTGTTTTGATATTTTATTCAAATTTGGTATGCGTAGTATTAAGAACCATTTTCCAGGACCAATAAAACATTTTTAGATCCACCAGGGGCGAGCGTATAAGTAATTTTGTTTTTTGAAAACGAAGCAGCTTAGGGAATATGTTTATAGAACTTTTACTTTCGAAAATATGCCACGGAATATCTCCTCCAATTTTTTGTACTTACTTAGGAAACACCCTGTATATTTTTAATTTTTGAAATATTTTGCATACAGTGTTGCATTCAAGTGCAAATTTTTAAATGTTCGGCGAGGAACGGGCATTCCCGGTCTTGGCATTGTGCTAAAATAAAATATCTCTCGCGTCAATTAAACGTATTTACGTCTCTTGCTAAATGCGCACCGCAGTAACACGCGGTGGTTAGTTTCTTGCAGTTTTCAATGACGTGCACGATGGAAGTTGTCGGTTCGAGGACAAAAGCGATGCGAGAGAGCGATCCGAGCCGGTGTCTTCTGGTTGCAGGTGGATTCTCGAGTGAAAAAGTGGAACCGCGGGGAGGGAGAAAAAAAGAGGGAAGAGAGAGAGCGGGAGTGAAACAGTCTTCGACTGCGTGGCTTTCTCATTATCGCGATTGTTCTGCAATGAGTACCGACAATGGCCGACACAACGACAATTTTTTTCGTCGCGACTTAAAAGAAGAAGAATTCCCTTCCACTTTCCACCTCTATCCGCGCATTCCCTTCTTCCCCGCGACCCCACCGTCCCTTCGCTCGTCCGGTCACATCTTTCTGTCGTGATTGAACGTAACTGAAACGAGGTTACAGAGCGTGTCAATATTACGTCATCGGTTCCTGCCTTCTTGTTTCCTACTTGAAACGGAGTTTCGTTGTCGCCTCGTCTTGACACCGAACATAAAGATTCCGCGAGTCAAAATCAGGTTTAAATTAAATAAATAGCGCAGGCAAACCCGCGTGTTTTTTTTATCTTTACGGATAAACTTGTAAGGGAACTAAGGGAAGGGAAGATCTTGTTGGCAGAGCGATCTTTTTTTTTAATCTGTCAAAATTAGGCGCGCGTGTGCATCGGTCGAGAGGTTTGGCGCACATTCAAAAGTGCGGGTTCCAGTTGGACCTGGCATTCGAACGTCCAGACCTGTGCCAATTTTTTCTCCAGCGGCTCGTCATTCCTCGCGGTCGTGGGTTTACGATACCTCGCCGCGATAAATCCGTTCCAATTTCTTTATGCCGCTGAAACGAGAACTCGAGAAACGTATTCATAAATGGAGAACTTGATCCGAGCATGAATCGCGGGGGTATATCCGGAGGCACCATTTGGCGTCCGGAAGGCATTCCGATAGAAAAGGGAGACGCGGGGAGACGCGAATACGATCGATAGCCGGTGTCTTTCCCGATCGTGTGTAAAATGTCGCTTGTTTAATAATTATTATCCGCGCTTAGGCTAAGAGCTACTATTTGATGCATGATACAACGACATGGGTTGCCGAGACGAGAAATTTATGGCGACGTTGCCGGCCTTGCCAATTTCTTATTTATCTCTATTTACGCGTCTACCCTCGTGTAACCGAGCTGTAACATTTCATAAGTTCAGTCTTTATTACTGCAGGCAATTACTTTGCGAGTGCCGCTTCGTGTTTCATGCCTCCCCGCTTTTCCTTCGAGAGTAACGAAGATCGCCTAACGTTTGTCAAATTTATCGCTCTGTCGAATCTGTTACGAGGTCGATTATAGTTTCGTGAGTTCTACGAGAGAATCGACGTGTCAGTTTGGGAAAAAGACTATCGATGTTTGGAATGGAATCTATAAAATTCACGGGAGTTTTTCCGGGTTTTTCCGACGCATATATCGCGTTAATTACTAACAAGATGAGAGGCGAAGATCTTGTTGGCAGTTCCTCGGCCAAGTTCTTTTCCTCATCATTTATTTAAGCTTCCGTTAAACCATTTCAATCGCTCACCTTTAAAAGACTTCAGTTTAGCTAAGGGACCGCGTTAGAGTAAAGACCACGCGGCCCATCGCTATTCCACCGTCCGGTCTCGTTCTCGTCAAGCTACGTCCGTTTCGTTACAGCAGTGAATGATGTCGCGAAGACGACAGGTGGAACTCGGGAGAACGCGGCCGGCCAAGGAGACTAACCTAATTTGCGGAGATAAAACGGTAGGCGAAAGTGCGCGTACCCGGGAAATCCATTAAAGTTTCTGCGGCTTTTCACATTTTCTAAAATTAAAGTATTACACGTGATTCTCGCGGTATCCTTGGTTAGCCTCGAAATTCGCACTTGCGCGATTATATCTTGTCTCAGAATTTACATATGTATAATTATCAAGTTCTTTATGGACTATGAGCGTTGCATATACGTATATATTTAGATGCATTTTTATCTCTTTGAGTTTTCAAATCGAAAGATTATAGGTTTTCTAGAGGCATCCTATTATCACAAAACAATAAAACATAACAATTGTCTCAAATTAGTACACGGAAAGAACGGTTTTGTCGAAGTATATAAAAATTAAAGCAAATATTGATCTGAAAATAATTATGTTAAACTGTTTTAAATAATTACGTAGAACACGCTCAAGCACATGATGGCAATGCTGTAAAAAGTTTTGATTTAGCAACCAGTGTCCAATATAATTATTTAGATGGTCTAACATAATTATTTTTCTGGGCAACGATCACGTAACTTTTCCCGTAGGGCGGAAACGTGAAAAATGAAAAGTTTCATGTAACTATCTCTCTTTCTAGTGTTGAATAGAAAGAAATAGTCACATGAAATTTTTCACTTTTCACGTTTCCGCTCTAGGGGAAAAGTTATACGTGATTGCTGCTCAGATCTGTATTTAACCTAATTTTTATACATATATATCTTTAGTAATAAAACCGTTCTTTCGGTATACTATTTAATCAAAACAAATTCGCGACACGTTAATTCACAAAAATTCAATGTATACCAACTATCCATGTTGTCATTGCCTGGTATCAAAGCCTGAAAATTTACGTTAGTAGATTGAGTAGAGATTAATATATTTAAAAAAAGCTGGGGGAGGGAAAGAAAGAGGAAGGGGGAAGCTTGAGCGAGAGAGCGTGTCTCTCTGACCGCGAGCGACGTTTAATCGGGCCGAGCAGTACGTGGACCATGACCAACGAGAAACCGTGCCCATTCTGGTTCGCCCACGTGACGACGACGACCACGGCGATTCTGGCACGGTATCCGATCCGTGCCGAACGTTTGTCGTTGACTTTCGCGACGCCTATGATGGATCGCCGCTCCGGGATTACCGCAGCGGCCGCGGCACTCCATTCGTTCAAACAACACGGAGATTAAATCCA